AGCAGGGACGGCGGGCTTTGCAGCCGTGCGCAAGCAGAGACGAGAAGCGGTCGCGAGGGTCGCCATCGTGAGGGATCGTGGGGTGTGGCGGTTGCGAGGGTGAGGTCGTCGAAGGGAAGGTTTGAGGTCTTTTCCTTGGTGGTAATCGGCTGATGATGCTTTGCCGAAAGTTTTGGCTGCAAAATGTGGCCTCAGGCTGCCAGATCGAGTTGAGCTCGGAAATTGAAGCCTCGCCATTGGTCCGGTCACTTTCGGGTGGGGTTTCCGGTCTATCCCGGGCATCTGAGTTCCTTTCTTGCCTCTACAGCTTTCACCTTGATAATGACTACCAAGATGGAGAATCAGTCATTGTGACGCAAAAATGCTTTCGAATAGAGAAAAAGTCCGATATATACTCAAACCAGTCTCCCCAGGTACATCATACACACCAGTCACGGCTCAATGGACTCATATCAATATCTCTATGACTTCATGGCTTCTGACCAATCATCTTTGTCCCATTCGTCCTGAACATCTAGCAACCAACTACATAACATCCATGTAAAGACAACCCCAGTGAGAGCCAGAACAACATAACTCATTAATCTATGAGAAACATCTCAATGCATTCTCCTCAACTCCTCAATCAAGTTGCGCATATCCTCGACACTTGGTCCAAGACCCTCGCAAACAAGCTCTTGCTTTCCTTCATCCATATCCAAGAATCTCTCAACCATCTCCCCGTCTATAAATCGGAAAGGTCCCTCGCTCTCCCGGTTTTCATTACGAAAGGAACGCCATAGCTTAAATTCGACGCTTCCTGGTACATGAATGTACTCTTCCATCTTTAACTGGAACGTCATAAGCAGGTCCTGGTACTGTGGTGCAATATCACCATAAAGATACAACGAGCCCTCGGCCTATTCCCTATTAGCTTATGTCTCATGTTTTACTACAGTTTGTGCTTACCGAGGCGAGGAAGGCTCGTGGATGGACAATTCCGTTCTCCGCCATTGGGACATTGAGTTTTCGGATCCGGTTGATCTGTTCGCCAATATTCATTTCGCTCGTAATCTCAAGGCGCATTCGGTCTTGCTCTGTCGGTGCATCCACGTTTCGTTGCAGGACAACGAGATTGCCCTTTGAATCAGCCTCCAGCCACCTTTCTCCTTCAATATGACAGACCGAGGTGGCCCACAGGGGCTCGAAGTGACGTGCACGTTCCTCTAACCTGGCCTTGTTACCATCTTGTGCAGGAATGAACTCAACTAAAGATAGTGACTGCATCAGATCAACCACGCCAATCATGTTGCCGGATACGTCGAGATCCAGAGGCAAGGCCGCCGGGCGATAAACAGCGAGCTTCTGGAGTAAACCGGAACTGCTTGTCTCTTGCAGGAAACTATAGGCCACAACTGTCTTGGACAGTCCAGCAATGATGTTGTCACCAACCATGCCTAAACAGCGGCAAGGGCCTTTCAAATTGTGAGAGACAATCTGGTACACCTGACGGTTTGAGTCAACTCCGAGGACCAGGATACGGCCGCCAGTACCGTTTGGGTCTTCCACCCCATCACTGATGAAGCTTGTGCCAACAATAAATCTCTCCACATGGTTGCCGCCAACATCGGGGAGCTCAGTCCTAATGACACATTCGACAATCTCGAGGCTGCTTGAAGCATTCAATGGGAAAGGTGAACCGAGCTCCTTGAATACAATCTCATCAACAAGCCTAAATGAACTCGACACAACCTCTTCGTTGCCGACTAACTCCTTCTTGATGGAGCCTAGACCGAAGGCTTTCAGCCCTGGGGAGTAGGCTACCCGTCTGACAGTTTCGTTGACAGGCAGAGACTTCACGTGTGTAAGTCTCTCCTTATCAACATGACAGATTCGAATATGCTGGTCTGTAGACAGGATCACGGAATCTGGGAAAGCGTGGGAATCAAATGGTGCAACAAAGGTGGCATCATCGGCGGTTGTGGCAGAGAATATGATTCGTCCTTCGGCGCCATAGATGAGACTGGCATGCTCAGTCGTCACAAAGACGTTCGATGTACCATCCTGTTGCGGGAGTATGTGTAGTCGAGCTGGGTTACTGCCCAGAGTCACGCTTTTCCGACCAGAGACAGCGAAGCCCTTGGTAGATACATTGAACGTAACCACATTGCCGTCTTCCATTGCGACCAAAAGTGTAGGCCCCGATATCTCAGGCGGATGCAGTTGGACAAGTGCAATATCTCTTGGGACTGTCGCACTATCCTCGGTTTGCCTCATGGACTCTCCATGGAGTGGCTTCAAGGAAGCCATATCTATCAATGATATCTGTCCAGAAGACCACCAGCCGACTACACCGAGATCTGGTGGATCCCGGGCAGCATGTATGCATGATATTTGATCAGCTTGTGAGTCTGAGGTGTTTTGGCTTTGTTGAACGTTGACAGCCAGGTTCTGCAAGAGATTCAATGAGACAAGGGATGTTCCATCAACCGAAAGCAATGCCCACTTGCTGTTTGCTGACGCTCTTGTGATCGACTTGCCGCTTGGAACGTCCCATTTACTGGTTGCCGTGCCACTTTCGGGATCAAGTAAGACGACTGAGCGAGGAGTGATCTGGAGCAACTGTCCGTTGGGAAGATTTGAAGCCAAAAGGGTCTCGGTATCGAGTGACATGCCCTGGAAAGAGTATATCTCTTCAATTCCGCCTTCACGGTCAAAGCTGAGAACCCTTGTCTCGGTGATCGCTGAGACGACCAGGGTATCTACCAGGTCAGACCCGTATGAACGAAGAGTGAATAGACCTCTGGTTCCCTCTAGCTCGTCCAGAACACCTCTGTCTTCGAGACCGACACCGCTTCGAATACTTCGAAGGCTCCCATCGCGGTAGGCACCACAGCCTGCCACTATTCTTGACTGACCAGACGAAAAGGCATTGCCAGCTTGAGCATCGCCTTCTCGGTTGCCCATATCCATGATGGAAAAGTCAAGAATGGGCGCATTGTTTGAGAAGGATTGGACCAATGTGACAGTGGCGCTTTCCACGTCGATCTGATAAAGCTGCGAGTCACCGTGGTGTGAAGCCACAAATAAGGTGTTATCCCCAAGATAAACCAGATTGGACGCTCTGGATGTGATGGCTGGTGAGCGGCCGATCTTGAGAGGCTCGAGTGTCATGCCGGTCACAACAACACCGGTGGTTTCAAGGTTTGTGTCAATCGTCAACAGATCCAGTCGTCCATAGTCATCAGCCAACAAGTAATGTGTACCGTCGTACTCGGCCCAAGACACAAATATTCTTGGATCCTGAAGAACCGAAGATACACTTCTGTGTGTCAGGCCATCAAAATATGTAAGAAGAGTTTCTCCAATGACTAAGATGCCACCTAAATGTGCCTTTGCTCCTTCGGTGTTGCGCACATGGTAACGCTTTTCCTCGTCTAACGGAACAGGAATGAGCATTGAGGCGTACGGGTCAGGAATGACAACGTCGAGCTCTCTGTCTTTATGGGGGTCGAACTTGGAAACGGTGTTCCCTTTGTCATCGTGAGTCAACCTATATATAACCAATCGAGCTTCTTCCTGTTCTAGCTGTGTCTTGTATAAAAAGGCAATGGTCGGGTGACCGGTTCGGCTGTGGATGAAAGTGCTTGCTTTCATGAAGAGTTCTGTGAGCCTAACCTGGTCGAGTCGTTCCAGCTTGTTGGTAGAGCCCTTGCGTATGGGGAGTTTGAAAACATTCAGCACTCCCTCCCAAAGATGCATGGCTAGGAATCGCCCGGTCGGATCGACAACGCATTTATTCTGACTTGACGAATGTCGCATATATGGCTCTGCAAGGTCTTCGATAACACGCTCGATGGTGTCCAGTTGCTTTGTTAACGGGTTCCACACCAGGTTGAAGTAATGCAGTCTATCGGTGCCGATAAACAATAAATCGGTCTCTGAACCTTTGGGTCGTAAACATTGCAGCATCGCTATTGATCCGTGGATCAGTTTCGTCTGTAGGCACACGAGGCCCTCTTCTGTGAGGCGCCATATTTCGAGTCGGTTCGCCTTCCTGTGAAGCCTCAATCAGCATCTGCTCGAGGCGTCATCGAAGGCGTTGGAGCTCTTACGCCACAACCAAGTCATCTATATCAGGAGAAAGCACGTTCGCCCGTAGGGCATGGCGTATGCTCGTAGCGCGATGGATAGGTGCGACATATGCCATATTTTCTTGCTCGTTAAGGGGCTCGCAAGCGTTGGATGTAGCGGAGAAGCAAGGTAACGCGTTGTGTTTGCCCCTCGACGAGAACTGTCGAGGTTCAAAAGCTCACCAATGCAACTAACTGCTTGTCTCCGGGACCAGGTGCGTCACTAGCCCCCGGAGTTAGTGCGGATTACAGCGGTCCAGTGGGGTTCGTTAAGTTCCTAGGCTTTTAAAATGGACTTGAGATGCATGTATGCCGTTTAGTGGGGCATAAACACTTACACCCCATGTAAGACGCAGCTGGAGGTGAGGGGATACAAGAAACATGATCCCAACTCCATGACACAAAGACTTGAGTAAGGTAAGCTAAGTATAGACTTGAAAGGTCTCTAGAATGAGGGTTTTCGACAACCTAACTAATTCAAGCTCTGAAGCTTTCTTGCTGCCTTGGGTCAGAGACACTATATCAGCCCTCTAATTATAAGCTTAACAGCTTTATCTAAAAGAAATGGTTCATATCATAAAAGTCATGCTCAAGAACTCTTACTATATCATTGCGGCATAGTCTGAGGATCAGTCAGTGATGAAGCGTGCGCTGCCACTGAAGCAGCCCTTCTCGTCTTCCATCGCACCTTCCGCACCCAGCCCTTGCCTGTCCAAAATAAACATGAACATCAGCCTTTGGAGGAAGGAGTCAAGGGAATCTACGAACTCGTATAAGATCTGATGCTCAGGGTCGATTCATCATGTAAAATCCAACTTGAGGTCTCTCTTTATGACATCCTAAGTCCTTACTACTAAGTTATCTACCTGAGGTGTCTTACTTCTCAGCATGAGTTCGACTACAGCCTCAACTACCAGAAGTCAGCGAGTCGTCGATTACGCTATTGAGAACCAATGTTTCCATAATCACCAAGGTGCCCCATATCGATTTCGAGATATTGTCAGACAGCTACGAGAAACTGCGGAACCGGCAAAAGAGAATGGGCTAGTTGATCAGCCTGGACTAACTGCAGCACCTTTGCCTCGCACGAAGGTCGCATTAGAGCCGTTTCTCGAAGATGAAAGCTACGACATCCCTATAGACCCTAAGGTCCCTGATTCTTCAGTATTTAGATTTCTAGGCCAAACAAAAAGCCTTCGACTCCCTTCGGAAAGCATAGATACAGGGCATAATCTGCAAAAAGAACTGTCACAATATCTACAAGATATCCGGATTGCAAGCTCTTGCAACATCCTGACCCAATGGCTCCCATTGACGTATGTCAGTACTGAGAAAGATGAAGGCCTTGGCTTTCCATCCACCATCTCACGATGGCAAACATTAGCCTTGCGTGAATTGGAGGGTGATGAGCCTACATTTACGGAATCTGACCACGCTTCGTTCTATACACAGCAGGCACCAAATCAGGCTTGCACGCCAGACCAAATCAGACAAATATTCTCTCTAGATAGAGTGAGTCAGGGTGTGCAAGTTCAGGATTTGTTCTGATTTCGTTAGCATTACCGTTCAAACTTGGAGCCGGTGTCAGCTCCGCTTTCCCCTGCCTCTGACTTGGACGAACCATTTCTTCCAAGCACAGGACATATGGTGATCGATCTGACCTCAGAACCAAGCACTCCATCCAATCCTGCAGTTGAGGACTTGGATTGGAATATGCAACATGGCTTTGTGGACTCCGAGCCTCCTGCCCCTTCAACTATGCCCAGCTCTCCTCCGACAGGTAAGGCGGCTTTCTTGTCTAATACAGCAAAGAAACATTCAGCTCTCAAATTAGACGTGCCGATGTTGCCATCTAGCACTGCTACCAGTCCAGCTCGGGATAATCTTGCAGAAACTTTGGCACCTCATCTCCTGCGTTCTGAGGAAGCACCCCAGTCTTCAGCTGAGGATGGGGCATATTTCGAAGAAGCATTGCAGTCTATATTAGATGAGAAACACCACCAGGCAAATCTACGATTGGAACAAGAACGATTGAACCCAGAAGGCGCTTTATTACGGTTGCGGGTACCAGCAGTTGATTTTCAAATACCTGATCCTGAATGGATGTTACACTTGTCCGTTTTGCAGGATCATTTTGAATGGCTACAACAATTTTCCCCCAAGGCCTTTCATCTGACCTGCTACAAGGACCTAAGTCGTCTCGAATCATCACTTAAATGGACACCAATCCCTCAGAAGAGTGGCAAAGTTTCATTGACCGAGGCATCAATTCAGTTGGGACCTGTTGCGAGAGAGTTGCTTACCCTAAGGCCTCCCCGACTATGCAGTCACAACTACATCGTTTCTCGAAACTTACCAATGGTGCTCCAAATTCTGACCGATGAAGAGATTGAACAAGAAGTTGCCTCAGTTGTGGTGTCGTCGCCATCAATCGGTCACCAGAATCAGGACGGCTCGACGGCTACTTCGAAGTCTCAGAAGCCTCATGTTGCACAGTCTTTGAAGGAATTAATAGGTTCGTTACGACAAGGTACAAGAAATAAGAATGTCTGCGAGAGGGAGAATCTGTTGCTGGAGGCCACTGACTCAAGTGCGTCCAGCAGCTTATTGTCTGGTTTCATGCAGCTTCGACAACCGAAAAGGCCGAAGAAAAGCAGCAGCTCCTCTCAAACTTCGGCAGCCCCAAGGGCCATGCCCTCCATGACCGATCCTACAATACTTCCCGTTATCCAAGAAGAGGCCCAGAGCGAGCTGCAAGACGCCCCGGTTCCAAATCTCGACATTCCTCATGAGACTTGTCGTTACATAGTCTCGTTGGACTTGAGTCGCAGCACTCTCTCCTACCTGGAGAAAGTCTGGCCACAAGCTGAGCTCATCGACCGAGACTTCTCACAGTACAACACAGTTGCCTGGTCTCCTGGATCGGCTCAAAGAAGGGAAATCATTTCGCCTTTGGCGTTTGAGGCTGATATATCCATAAGCCCTGGTGCCGGCCTCATATTAACTACGATACTGAAAGTGAAACAGAAACCTCTTCCTGGATCCAGTGCTCTCACACCATTTCGTGAAAGAGTCAGACAAATAAGTGAGAAATACGAATCTTTATTTATATTAGTATCAGAATCGAATCCGCTGGGAGAATATGTCGGGTCACCAACACCCTCTGATATCTCCGGGTATGCTGACTTCGTACGTTTCACAACGAGTCTTCGAGCAGGCATATCAACACATCTGGTTTCTGGCTGCGATGAAACACTTTCTAAATGGGCTTTGTCAATAATGTCCCGCTATTCTTCATCAGCTCATCAGTTTGGGTCTTTTCTTGACTTTCGTGATGGTGCATGGGAGTTATTCCTGCGCCGTGCTGGTCTCAATATCAGTGCAGCGCAAATAATAGCAGGTCTGCTAGTATCTGAATACGGTCAAGGCGGACTTGCGAACTTTTTGAGTATGAGGGCAGAAGAACGAGTTTCCAAATATGGTCAAATCATGGGAGGCAGGAGAATATTAAACAATGTTTCGAGGATCTTGGACCGAGAGTGGGTGTAGTCAGCCACCACATAAAATGTACGGAGTAACTGGAGCACAATGTTTCTGTACTTTACGATGGATTACCTACATTTAGACCTACCTGTGAAGGCTATAAGTCCCCGACTTGTGGATCTATGACCAGGTAACTAGAGATGCCCTCGAGTACGCAGGGAAGGGCGTGTTACAGATCACAATGAGCAGCTTCAAGCAATATCACATCGCAGCACAACAGACTTATGCCCACCGAGCTCAGTGAGATCGCTTCTATTGCCCTACATGTGTACCCATGCTTACCGTCTACGCTTGTACGTCTATTCATGCATCTCAAACACTATTCAGGTTGGGTCAGATACCCCCAAATGTTCAAAATCGTTCAACAGACCTCCCACATTGGCCGCGGTAACGTTCGTAAAGGCAAGGCGCCCTGTGAGGTCTTGAGACCAACATAGACGACTCGGCGCGTAGGATTTGAGAGATTGACGGAGCGAGATTGGATGCCGTAATAGTCCGAGATGGTATGTGTGAGCCAACGCCTGCGAGTTGTTAGTAGTTGCACTGTACCCTCGATATCGATACTCACTTGAAGGCGGCGCTTTCATCGGTGCCGAACGAGTCAAATAGCATACCCGAGTCGACCGTCTCCTGTGACACTTCACGATGCGCATGCTTCCATGTTGCCTGCTTCTCTCTGAGCTCCCTCATGGCGCCGTTCCTACCGACGAACACAATCTCTTCATCATCGGAGTCCATCTGCTCAGCTGCACTATCAGCATCTTCATCAGCAGTGACAGCTGGCGTTGTGGCCGTAGCCTGCTGATTAGCGAGGTATTGTCGCACAGGCTCTTCCAGAGACCGCACCCAGGTGCGCACAACGGGACTGCGCTTGGTGGCTTCGCGCAGATCGCGAGGAACCTCGCCAGCTCCGAGACCCGTGGCGCTGCCTGCCTTGAGTTGCTGTTTCTTGCGTTCAGCAAGGAGACGGGCCGTCTTATCCTCAACCTGTTTGCGCACGCCACGGTCCCAGAACTGGGCAAGCTGGTAAGGCACTCGGTGGATCGGATGAGTAGGATGGACTTCGTAATCGGAAGGCAGAGGCGGTTGAGCGTTTGGAACGCCCATCAAGCGGTCTAACACATTGAGGCCAACGATCAGTATGCTGCTGCGCAAAAGGAAGCAGATCCGAGTTCGGAGTGCTTCCTTATCAATGATAAAGCCATACCATTCTCCCAGCGACGACGCTGGCGACTACCCTCCTTGCCCTTCAGAACCATATCCCGCTTTCGCTGGCTATCCCTCCTAGAAGGTGGTCGTCTCAGGCTGGATATCGGGGCCTCATCTTCGTTGAAATTGACATTACGCCCGGGAGAATTGGAGTCGGCTTTGACAGCCTCATCAAGAGGAATCGCAAGAGGAGTGCCGGTTCCACGCGCGATCGGAGAAACGCTGAGAGATTGAAGAGCCGAAACAGTCCAAGCATCGATATCAATGCTGCCATTCTTGACTGGCGTAGGAGGCGAATGGACTTGCAAAGCCTCCAACGGAGGATTTGTCGCCGTGGGAGTAGGAGTATTCGAGGCCGACTGTTGTTCGGGTGGCGGTACGGAACTGTAGATAGCCATGATAATAAGACTCGCGGGGTGGTCGCTGACGACGGAGTACGATAAAGATAAGATTAAAGGTGAGTGATTGAAACTCTCGACAGTGTCTTAAGACAAAGACTCTAGGTTTGGTAGGGAGAAAGAAAGAATCCCTAGGTTCTAGGTCTTGAGATGGAAGAAAGGAGGAGAGATGGCTCCGGCAATGGAGAAAGGACAGAAATGATGGTTTTAGATGGTGGTTTAATTGATCGACGGATGAACCATGAATGACATGCGGTGATTCATTCAACTTGATTAGACAAAACCAACCAATCACATCTCGACCGCATCCCACAGGGGGCAAGCCAGCGACACCCAATTCCGCATTTGCAGGCGATGAGAGTCACCCGTCGCCCGCGGAAGCGGGGGGTCGTTTAGGGCCATGATAGGGCCCAGGCACCAGGCTTCTTCTATTCTGTCATGAGAAGCTGATGATGCTGTGAATAACGGCTACTCAAGGCTTCATTGGTAGAATGCAATATCTCAGCATTGACTTGGAGCAACACAATTTCTCTCGAATCACCTGGTTCGGTATCTGATATTACTCTTTATCTCGGCCGGGCTGACTTCGAGTCATCAAGGCCCCCACACATACCCTGCGCCGCAATATCTTCAATGAGTCAAACTCGGAGGGCTCGGGAGAAGAAGAAGAAAATGTACATTTCTAAAAAAAGTATGCAATCCTAGGTAATCACTAAATACCAATAAAATACCTCAAACAATTATGGTATATCACATGCTCGCTGTTAACCCTGAACTCGTCTTGTAACTTTAAGGCAAGGTAAGAGAGGTGAATTCCTCAGTGTTCGGCGGTGGCGTCGTATGTCCTGTGAGGGTTGCCAATACCGCCAGGTTTTAACAACGGTTGGCTCTCCCGCTCGATAGCACGCTCTTCTCTCTCTTGGATGTCGTGCAGGTCCTCCTCCGTTTCCGCGTATCTCTCCGGGTGACCGGTGAAAGGTCCTGGAAGACCACGCTCCCAACCCTCAGAATAGGTCCTGCTGCCTGGCGGAGGCCTTCGGGGCGCGCTCGAGTACTGCACAGGTGAGTGTGGTGCGCTGTCGATATGGCCGTTGGCATGACCGCCATGCTGCCGCGCCATGTATTCGTAATAAACACCCATGAACAGGACTGATCCCTGCATAGATGCAGTGATCAAGTAGATGAACCATGTGCTCCATCCTTCCCAGCCCAGACGGGCAAAAAGGCTTCCTGCGAATAAGAAGCCACCGGGCGTCTGGATGCACATCATGGGGATGCTCAGACTGCCAACATGTTTCAAATGGTATGTCATCCAGATCTGAGGCACGTATTGAATAGCGGCCAGGACTGTGGCCATGATTCCCAAGAAGTTGGCCCAGAAAACGAGATGATCGGGCAGAGCAATGAAAAAGACACCCGTCAAGATAACCACAATGAGGCCGTGAAGGACACAGAGTAGTCCAACCATGACAGCGGTCTGCCATCTGGGTGCATCGCCACGAAGATCCTCCGGTGGAACATTGGCTTCTCTATATCTAAAGAAGATGAGGAAAAGGACAAGACTGGTAAAATGTTAGTGGAGAAAACAGATCGAGCTGGGTGCGGAGGCTAACATGAGGCTGAAGCAGACCCATTGAGCGCCTAGCTGGGCAACGCCGAGCAGACCGGCGACGCACTCGAATCTACCGAGCTCTTTGCAGCATCCTATGGCAGCACGAGACGGTGGGACAGTAAGGATATTGGCGAAACCGGCAGTAGCGGAAGTGGTTCCAAGCAATACAAAGTAAGGCGAGATGCCTTCGGAGGTGCCTCTGGAGATAATGCGATAATGCTGAGGAAGGTAGGACACGAGAATGCCGAGTAAGAGGACGCTACAACATCAAGGTTAATAACAAGGACACACGCCATCAAATTTAGAGAGGGGTTGCGCAGCCATACATAGAAACGACAAGCTCAAGATACGAGGGCGTCTTGAGCCGGTCGCATTGGTCGTCGTTTGGGGCAAAAACGTCCATGGCGGATATAAGGTGAAGTGCGCGAAGGTATAACAACACGGCCGCGCAACTTCGGGAGAAGACGATTGAGGATTCGTCCCAGCAGGTGTCGCGAGAGGGTGAGAGAGAAGCTCGCGAGAAGCCTGGCAGGCACAAAAGAGAAAATGATCACAAGTAATCACGAGATCAGACGAAGGAACGCCCAGGGTCCAGTCGTCTCTCGTCAAAGAGGTTTGCCCAGCTTAGCTTTGGACTGGTTTTGGGCACGGGCTCGTGTGGAGAGAAATGATAGAAGGTCGGGCGCCGTGCGTTGCTGGGGAGTGACGTATGATGGGTTATTTTAGTCGGTGTCTTGTCTGGGCGAGGCTGTCTGTGTTTCGCGGGGAGGGGCAGCGTTGTAGAAGAGACTCAAGAGAGCGTAGCGCAGCTGGAGCTGGATCTGGAGTGGAAAACTGAGAGCGAGTCGGCATTGACCGATAGTCGACGATACGAGGGTATGAATTGCCTGTTTTGGCCAGCTGAACTAGGAGATCATGATTGGTGAGACAGAAGAGAAGAGAAAGTTTCAAAGACGATGTTTATCTTTTGGTACCTTATGTTGGAAGTCAAAAAGGGAGAAGTCTTTTATGGATTGGGATGAGATAAGAT